TGACACATTTCTAAGTCACCAAAATTGCTAGTTCATGTTGCTGTATGTATATTTGTGACCCAGCAAATGTGATCACTTTTCTCTGTTAACCCATAATAAAGACATTAAAGAACCAAACTTCATGAATGTTTTTTTGTGACAAAGAAGTATCTGTTCCAATCACTCTATCAGAGAAAAATCAGAGTTTTAGAAATAACGGGACACTCAGTAGAGCCATCATATTATATTTTTTACAAGTGTATGTAAACTTCTGACCACAACTGTACCAAATGGTTACAAAACTTTCACCAATAATAAATGCTGATTTACACATTTCCATTTATTTATCACTTATTGCCAGTGATGAAAGGGAATCGGATGTGCTTGTCATTTTGCTGGAGGTTGCAATCCCAGGGATTTTTTTTACCTTAATGGCCATCTGTTGGTAAGGTCTTATGTGAACAGAAAAGTAATGCTTGCTTGCAGAGATTTAGGTATGTACTGCCCCCATCGCCAGGGAAAATACACACTGTCACTTTAAGGTGTTAAAAAGACTAACGCACAGCCAGGAGATAGGTTTCACTTTGGCTTTGGCCAGAGATAATTAATAACGGACACTATAGGGGTGCTCAAAGCAAGCAAAACTGACAAGTGTGCCTTTAAACCAGTCTACCAGATGCTACAGACTCAGAGATACAAGCTTTCACGGCATCTTTCAAACAGACAATTGCATAAATTAAGTTGATGTTTCCAAACACATTCACCTATTACACCTATTCTACAACCCTGCAAAGCACTTCACAATACAATCAGTCAGTCACCCAGTCACACACACATTCATACGCTGGTGGGGATGACCTACGATGTGGCTACAGCTGCCCTGAAGCGCACTGACAGAAGCACAAAAACACAACACAAAAAATTACTTTAAATGGTGCAAATATTTAGAAGAAATAACACATGAAGAAAGCAAGGCTACTTATTTAGTTCTTATTGCTGATCCCATCCCCTTCTACAGTCAACATTTCCCTCCAGGAGGCAGAGCTGAATTAACCATCGGAGTGGATGAAGTCAACAGAGGCACTTTCAATAAAGGGGAGGAATAAGTCAGGGTCGCAGAGTGACCCAGGGTCACGCCAATTTATTTGTAAGAGGAAAAGTGGCGTAAAGCATGACTGACAGTCATAAAGTGTCTGTCAGCATGTTGCTGAACTGTGGAATTAAAACTAATCATTGTGGAGGGCAACTGTGACAATTTAAGCTTTGCTGTTGTATAAATGAAGCTTGTGCAAAAAGAAAGGCAGCAAGTCTGTGTGTGTGTGTGTGTGTGTGTGTGTGTGTGTGTGTGTGTGTGTGTGTGTGTGTGTGTTAAGGGGTGAAGGTATAAAATAATTGAAGGATAGAACAAATAAGAGAAGACAAGTGAGGAATGAGAAAAATCCCACAACTGAAGCTGTCAGAAGCACAGGATTGAAAGGAGAATGATGGTGATTACCCCGCAGAAAAAAGGGATGCAGAAACAATATAGTAGAGCTGAACATCCACCCATCAGGGGATGCCCTTGTAGAAAATGCACAGAACCAAATCCAGCTGAGTCATTTTACCCTCTGGAGTTACTTGAGAAGCAGAATTCAGATCCTCTGAGTTTGGTTTTACAGCAGTAAATTTATTTACATGTCTCTTATGTAGGGTTTTAGGTTTTAAAGGTGTGGCTGACGGAAAACAGACATTTTTTAAATGTTTTTTTTTCTGATTATAAACGGTCACTCTGAGTTTTTCATGCAGACTGAACATGACAATAGTCTACTACACCTATCTCCCGCATTAGTTTCTGATAAAAAACTAGACAGTGAAAATCTAGGATTTGAAAACCCTCACAGATCTTTCATGGACTCACCCACTTTGACTCGAGATGGGGAAGGTTGTTGTTGGTTTAGTGTCCAGGAATCAGCAGCGGACATCGTGACTTGTAGATGCTAACTGTTAGCATTAGCAAATCCACCACTCAGCAGAACTCCTTCAAACTTGTGTTTTTCGTGGAGATAAAACAATGTTGCAAGTCAGTGGTATAGTTGCATTACTGTTATCTAATCTAAGTTGATATGTCAAAATATCAGGAAATAAGACTCCAAACCCTGCCATCTGAAGCTCAGCTGTGATGTGGGTAACTTTTAAGTCCGAGAAATGGTGCACCGGTACATTTTTCCCCATGAGAATGAGTTGCAAGGCATTTGTTCCAACTAGAGAACATGCAAATTGATTAAACAAGTGATATACTCCTTTGGGATGTTTTCACTTTATCCTGGAGACATAATTTCCTTGCACCATTTTTATGCCATCTTCTTTCAAAATACTTGTGTTTTTCTCATTACTAATATCAATGTAGGAGGTTGAACAAAAGCCAACAATCTCAACCTTTCTGCTTTTTATTTTTCATAGACAGTTAACGTCCTTAAAACAATGAAAAAAAACAATTATTTATTTTTTTCATTCAATAAAAATGTGATCACTCCTTAGACACCGTACTTCCAACCCAATCTTAAAAGAAAACGTTTGTGGTGATTCAATAAACTTAGGAAGGGACCACCACTTGAGTTTTATTTGTAAGTGTTGTGAGAAGCTTTCTTCGAGTGTGATAGAGTATAAAACAGGTCTTTCACCCTGCACAGCAGGCTTTAGTCTGAGTGTTTCAGCTGTGGATAATGCCCTCCCATGCAATCCCTCCATACCTGATGTGTCCTTCTGCTCCCTGTGGCTCCGAATAGAGAACAAGTGAAATCAGATCACCAGCATCAATGTGTTTTCAACAAAAACCTCCACAGATTTCATGATGACATCATCCTTCATGTTTTTCTGAAATAACAAAATAAACCTAACTTTGTATTTTTTGAAGGTTAAATGTTATTGATTTGTTTTCTTTTAGGGATAATAATTTAGATGTGTTAAACTTTAACTTTTTAAATTGTGTTAAATATGGCAGAACTGGTCATTTATTTATATTTCATGTATTAATCATTTCTATGTATGCATGTATTTATTTGTGGGGAGGCAGCATCTCATGAACCTGATGATTATTACTGAAACCGTGGGATGTGATGTCCTTCTACAACTGATTCACTTTTTAGTTAACATTAGCACAAACAAACATGGCTGCGATTCAATTAGTTTTACAAACACTGAACCGAACTTTGACATTAGTAGCTGAGAGTCAACCCCACCATGCGTTTATCGGCTCTTGCTTGATACTATGGGCATAACGTTATGTTCAAATTTCAACCGAATTAGCTAGAAGTTAGTCATTTCTCTATGTGTGTTTTTGCTTTTCATTATTCTAAGTTTTTTTTTCTTTTACAGAGACATTAAATCAAATCTACAGACATTTCTGAGACAAACAAGGTCTTCTTTAGTTGAGTATAAAATAATTAAAATGACATTATTTCTTCCTTTCTCTCTTAAGACTGTTTATGAGATTGTTTCCATAGTTTCTTTTCATTCTTAGCTACATGGGCACTGGGACTGTTAAGTTGTTAAGAAAATCCATCCATCCATCCATCCATCCATCCATCCATCCATCCATCCATCCATCCATCCATCCATCCATCCATCCATCCATCCATCCATCCATCCATCCATCCATCCATCCATCCATCCATCCATCCATCCATCCATCCATCCATCCATCCATCCATCCATCCATCCATCCATCCATCCATCCATCCATCCATCCATCCATCCATCCATCCATCCATCCATCCATCCATCCATCCATCCATCCATCCATCCATCCATCCATCCATCCATCCATCCATCCATCCATCCATCCATCCATCCATCCATCCATCCATCCATCCATCCATCCATCCATCCATCCATCCATCCATCCATCCATCCATCCATCCATCCATCCATCCATCCATCCACTTGTTCATGTTTACAGAAAACTGATGCTTATATCCAGTGGTTAGTAGCCAAGAGGATGTCTATACCCTGGACAGTTGTTGGTCCATCACAGGGTCACAGTAACAAAAAGAATGAGAGTGTGACCTTGAGCAGCTGAGATAGGCTTAGCACATTTAGGAGGAGCTCAGGGTAGAGTTGTTGCTTCTCCACTTCAAAAGGAGCCAGTTGAGGTGGTTTGGGTATAAAAATGTTTTCTGGTTCTCTTTGAGGCATACCAGGACAGCAGTAGCTCAGCAGGAAGAACGGGTTGTCCAGTATAGTCAGAAGGTTGCAGGTTCAATCTCGGTTGTGACCAGAGAATGCTGCTGTTGTGTCCTTGGGCAAGACACTTAACCTGCCTTGCCTGCTGGTGATGGTGGGAGGGACTAGTGTTGCCTGTGTTCGGCAGGCCTCGACTCTGTCAGTGCGCCCCAGAGCAGCTGTGGCTACATCAAAGCTCATCCCCACCAGCGTGTGAATGACTGATTGTGTTGTGAAGCACCTTGGGGAGTTGTAAAACCCTAAGATGGCCCCATACAGGCCATTTACCATTTACAAGGACTCTTTTGAGATACTATGTTTCATAGTTGCTCTGGGAATGACTGACTCCATGTGCATAAGGTGGACGTGGGGCCGGAAAAGTCAGGACATCTTTGTCTCTGTGATTTGGTTGTAAATGGAGAATTGAAAAGAATAATGTTTACTTGCAAAACAACACGAGGAGGTTTGGTTTGAATATGTGCTGTTAATCAATGCAGCCTGCCCTTTAGAAATTATATGTGTATGATTCAATTCATAAAGTATGAAAACATCTTTCCTCACAGCTGAAGGGTTCAGAAATCAGGAGTTTCAGTGGAATAAAAAAGTCAGACCTGTTTAACTCCATATTGATGGATCAACTTAAATTCACCTGATAAAAATGTACTACTCTAAGCTGACATGAATGTTCCTAATATTTTCTAATACATTTAATCTCCGTGCCACGTTAAATCCTCCCAAGCTGTCTTCAGTGCTGTGTGTCAATGTCAAGATTCTGCATGTGATTAAATACAGATCATTCATTTGCAGAAGTCCTCACTCACCCAGCTGCCATAAATCTCGCTCAGTCCTTTCAAACCATCCTTCATCTGTGTGTGCGCTACTCTTCTCTCTCACTGTTAGCTCTATTCTCCAGCAGTGCCATCTCCAGCAGGCAGTCGGTACATACTGTAGAAGCCATAAAGTCAGTATATGAATAACAAATGACAGCATGCAGTCAGGAGGAAAAATAAATTACTAAAGTGGTTTTCATTAAAATATAAACTGCTGCAGAGGTCAAAACACTCTTAGAACACTGTTTAAGCATTGAGCTGTGGAATTGGATTTGAAAATTTCTGCTGTATTTAGAGAAATAAAATAAAACTGAATGAAAAGAAAAATCTGAGAATACTGAAACCTGAATAGGTGACCAATTCATTCTGTCCTTAAACTCTAAAGAATACAATAAATTAAAAATCAGTAAAAAAGATCTATAAATGACAGTTGGTGTGATTGTGCTTCTGTTTCTGTAGGCACAAGATGTGTAGATGAATGAGAGCTGAGCCAAAAGCTTGTCTTTCTGATAATATTTTAGTGAATCCATTGTTCAAACTTTAAATAATATTGTTTATGTGATGCCAACTTCAAAGTAAATGAATGATAATGATACATTATCTGCACTTGTATAGCGTCTTTCCGAAAAAAAGAAAGAAAACAAACTTTAGAGTTAATCAACTCCAAAGTGCTACTAAGTAGTCAAAGCCCTCTGTAAATAAACACAATGATATTTTATAAATATAAAGTCACTGTCATGGATTTTATCAGTATGTTTATCAATATCACATAGTGCATGGTCTTGAATTTTACTTCTCAAACAATGAGCAGTTCTTTTTTTATATTTTATTTTTTATGTTTTTAATTATAATAAAACTTCTTGCTGGAGAAGGATGCTGGACCTGACTGCAGTTTTCGACACTGTTGACCATCACCTGCTACTGGATAGGCTGAGAGACTTGGTAGGCCTATCAGGAACTGCTCTGGAGTGGTTCTCCTCTTATCTGTCTGAGTGTTCCTTCTCTGTGGCCATCTCCAAGTGTAGGTCCTCCACCACCACCTCCCTTACCCATGGTGTCCCACAAGGTTCTGTGCTGGGACCCCTACTCGTCCTCCTCTATCTGCTTCTTCATCAGCACATCCTGAACTCCTAACATCTGTATGCAGATGACATCCAACTGTGCATCTCCTTTAAGCCCCATGAGATGTCTTAGCTACAGCTGTCACACTCCTGCTTAGACTCTATTAAAACCTGGATGGCTGTGAACTTTCTACAGCTGAATGAAGATAAGACTGAGATCCTCATCTGTGCCTCAAACAAGCTGGTTCCCAAAGTCAGAGACTCTCTTGGTCAGCTTGCTTGTCACACCAAACCCTCTGTCAGGAATCTTGGTGTGACCTTTGACCCAGCTCCCACCCTGGATTCTCATGTCAGTTCTCTTGTTCGCTCTTCCTTCTTTCATCTCAGGAACATTGCTAAGCTGAGTCCCATTCTGTCCCACTCTTAACTTGAGACAGTTATCCACACCTTCATCTCCTCACGCTTAGACTACTGTAACTCTCTTTTCACGTGTCTGAGCAAAACCTCCCTGAACTGTCTACAGGTGGTTCAGAATGCCTGTGCTCGGCTCCTGACCAAGTCCTCCAAAAACACCCACATCACCTTGCTTCTCCTCCAGCTTCATTGGCTGCCAGTCAACTTCAGGGTTCATTTCGAGATCCTAGTTCTCGTCTTTAGGTCCTTACATGGACAAGCACCATCTTAAATTGGTGATCTTCTCAGTCCCTAGACACCCAGCAGGTCCCTGAGATCCAGTATTCAAAGCCAATAAGGACCAAAGTTGATGGATCTATTGCTGCTGTGGCCCCCATACTCTGAAGCTCTCTCCCCTTGATCCTGAGATCAGCGGACTAAGTGGTTTCCTTTAAAAAGCAGCTGAAAACTCACCTGTTCAAGCTGGCTTTTTTGTGACCTTCTTCACCACCCTCTTCCTATTCTTCTCTTTCTACCTATTCCGCCTTTCCCGGGTTCCACTGATTTCCCTCTTTCCTATTCATTTTCTCTCTCTGTTTCCTGACATTTTTTAATCACTATAAATATTTTTTCTCATTTTAGACTTATTTAAAAAAAATTTTGAAATCTTTTTTTATATCTTAATTTTTTTGGTTTTTGAGAAGCATCTTGTGATTTTTGTTTTGAGAGGCTCTATGTAAAAGATTGTTTTCTTTCTTCAAAACCTAGCCTTTTCTGTAAATTCACTATAGAAGCTTTAATTCATCAACATCAGAGCATTTCCATCATATAAGATTGCAAGTGTAGCCTCTGGAAATGGTCTGTTTTTCCATCTACAGGTCGACCTCTTCAGTATCGGGTCACATGGAGACATAAGTCTTAACTGGGGCTTCAATCTGCAAGAAAGATACTGTGCTTGCCCAAGGTCCCTCGCAAACTCACTCTTATCTAAGACTACTTTGCTTCACAGGACAAGATGGATGAACTTTCATAATTAAATCATATAATGAAGAAGATGAGTAAATAATCACATGGTTGAATTAACAATAATGGTTTAAGAATAATAACAATGTTTTGATTAATCTGTGCTTAAATTACTGAGGTTGAAATGAATATTATTATGTTATGATCAGTAAAGTTAGATTTAACAAGTGAATCACTATCTACTGACAGCTCACACACTCAGACACGTCAAGATGACAAGATTAAACTAATATCATGACACATTGCTTTCTGTTCCACAAATCAGAACTCCTGTATCTGACACAAGGTGTGTTTTCTGAGGTTTGTTGGTAAAAACACTTTTTACATGTCAAATTCAGATTTGTTAGTAAATCAAAATATGATGATTATTAAAACAGGACTCACTTCACCATGAGTCACTTCTTGAGAAAGCTTTGGACCGGCCATCTGGAGCAAAAGCTCTTTAACCCAGAGCATCTTTTGACAAGCTGTCAAAAACCTGTTGCACGCTACAGCTAACTGCAAACGGTTCCTTCAGAATAAAGCGGAACCACCTTCGACTCCTTACGAGTCCTTCTATAGACGCAAATAACTACCTGGTGACCCGGAGACACCCCGAGACTGGTTTAGTGGCACTGTGGTTGCTTCTACGGACTTTGGTACCTTTGGGATCTACAGAGTTCCTGACATTCCTGATCTACCAGGGGGGTCTTCGAGCTGGTGCGTAGATTCGACAGATTGCGTCTGATGTGGTTTTATAAACCATCACATTATAGTTTACAGCAGACCAAATTCACTCCCACTCAGAACTCAGTTTCTTCAGATATGAGAGGTTCTGATAACATCACATTCCATCCACTTAGATTCATTCATCACATAAAATGTTTCCTAGTTGTCATGTTTTAAATTGTTTAGAAAATAAATTTCTTGCTTTTATAAACTTGACTCTCTTCTTGAATTAATATGAAGTGTCTGACAATCCCTGAATAAACAAAGAATTCTAAATCTTCTGGTTAAAGATTCAAAGATCAATCAGACTGAATTTCCGTATTCATATAGAAATTCACATCATATTGGGCAAATGTAGTTAAGTATATTGAACTTAAAAAGCACCCAAAGTAAATATGTGTGCTGATCCTACACAAGTAATTGTTTTCCCTTTGAATAACTGAAATGCAATCTCATTCATTTCCATTTATAAACAAAATAGTCACTTCTTAGGTGTGTTCTTGTTCATCTGCTGTGAGGTTTGTTCTTTTGTGTAAAGTCTTGTCCTGTCTGATTCTGTTAACTACTATGTCTATGGTTTTTTGGGTTGGTGTTTTTTTGAACAGGGATGTGACGTCATGTGAGATGAGCAGATGACATAGCACAACTGATAGGACTGGTAGCTAACTCCATTTACTTCACATATCACAACACAATATACAAACAACTGGAAGGCTTCACCATGGGTAACCCGTTATCAGCCACCCTGTGCGAGTTTTTCATGGAAGACCTAGAGCAAAAAGCCATAGCCACTGCCCCCCCCCCCCCCCCCCCCCCACCACCACCACCACCACCACCACCACCACCACCAAACTGCTAAATAAAACTATGGAAACACTACGTAGATGACATACTGGAAATCATACCAAAAGGACAAACAGAAACACTAACACAACACTTGAATAACATTAACGACACAGGCAGCATAAAGTTCACTTATGAGTCAGAAACAGAAGGCAGCGTAGCATTTATGGATATGAAAATAACCAGGCAGACTGACGGGACCCTAAACATAAACACAAATAGAAAACCAACACACACAGACCAATATCTATTATGGATATCAGAACACCCCACCATACACAAAATGTCAGTAATCAGAACATTATATCACCGAGTAAACATGGTAACAGAAGAAAGAGACCGTAAACAAGAGGACAAACACATACAACACGCTTTAAAGACCTGCGGTTACCCGACATGGGCAATAAACAAAGGAAAACAACAAACAACAACAGAAAGGAAAAAAACAACCAAAGCAAAGAACCAGCAACCCAAAAAGACAAGAACAAAAACCAGTGATGACCTTACCATACATCAAAGGCATAACAGAAAAAATAAGAGCAAAAATGAAAAAAACACAACATAAACACACCAACAAAACCATACACAACAGTTAGAAACAGACTAGTGCACCCAAAAGACAAAATATCAGCTGGACTTAAATGTGGAGTCATTTACGAAATCCCATGTAAACTCAGCAATAAAACATACGTAGGAGAAACCAGACACCAACTCAACACACGAACAATAGAACATAGAAAGGAGTGCGAGATAGAGGCAAGTCGAAAACACACGAGAGCAGCAAAAGAAGAAGCAGAAAGCACAACAAAGAAGTCAGCCGCAACAGATCACTGCATAAGAGAAAACCATATAACGGACTGGGACAACACAAGGATCATAAACACCGAACAACAGAAATACAAAAGATGGATAAAAGAAGCTATCGAGATAAGGAGACGTGGATGTGAGACCATGAACAGGGACGATGGCGTTTACTCGCTGGATCGCGCATGGGACTGCATCGCCGGAGAGGGGGGAGCGGGCAGCAGAGGGCGACAACGTCCTCTGCTGCCCACGGATAAACGGAGAAGGAAGTGACGCCACCATC